AAAAATGGTGCTTACACTTCGCAATTTTTCGACAGCTGATTGCTCTCAAAGGTCTTTGAAAAGTCTTTGAAAATAGGCAGAAAAAATCTTACCCTGGATTCCAGAGCCTTCGACAGTTTTAACCACTAATTCTGTTTTGTGATTGGCGTGGCTTAATCAAAGAATCGCCCCGTTAAACCAGAGCCTTCGCGACATTTCAATTTATTATTTACTGTCGAAGGCTCTGGAATCCAGGGTAAAAAAATCTTTGAAAGTCTTTGAATTTTTTTGGTCTTGGAGACTACGAACCCTGTATGATAGAACCAAACAGGAGCATTAAGGCCTAAACCTCGCTGCACACAAGAGAAACTTGCTGAGCCGAACTGCCGCTCATCATATTTCTCTTATAGTCTTTGTGAGGATTTAACCTCCAGGCCTTTTACAAGATAAAAATATCTATTGTATTCAATATTTTTCACCTCACAAGAAAATAATCTCAATGTCTGCAGATGTTGCGAGCTTAATGTTGAGCTGCTTGAATTAACTAGCCAATGAGAACCATAGTTTCTTCACATGACTTTGGTCAAAATGGCGGTAATGGAGGGAAGTGCAAATGATTGTATGGAAGAGATTATTTTGCTGGCCTCAGAGTGACAAAACGTAACAAAGCAACGGTTTTACTAACACTAACCCTACCCCAAACACCAACTCTAACCATAACCCTTACCCTAACCTAACCTAACCCTACTCCAAATTTGTTTCCAAACCAATCTTGAAGAAAAAAGTTTTGACAAAATGTCATTCTGAGGTTAGCAAAATAGTTGATGCCTGATTGTATTAATGACGTTACTGTTGAGAATAGTTACTGTAGCTCAGCACATTTCATGTGTGAGGCAGGGTTAAAAGAATCACAAAGTGATCATTTTATATATAGGTTCATAGTTAATTATGATAGGTTAAACCACAGAAATACATAACAAGAATGAGAATGTGTAAAAAGGCCATTACATGCCATTACAAATTTACAATCTTACCATTTAAACTTTTGTGTACAGATTACATTCGTACAAGTACTTATTCTGATTTTAATTCACAAGAAAAATGGCTTGCAGTACAAAGTAAAAAATGTCAGTAATGTCAAAGGACATACAAGTTATTATTACATACATTTCTATTTTTATGGCAAATAATATATATAGATGGTAATACAAAATATATCTATGTGGGCGTTTATAGGAACAAAAGCTGCCGTGGTTTGGAACTATACTACCAGAAAACAGAAGAAATATTCTTCATATTTTTTGGGTAGTTCTGACCAAACCCATTGCAGCTTTTCACAAAATAATTATCTTTTAATACAAAAGCCTTGTAAAAAGAACAGCACATTTTTGTACAGTTACAATGGTACTATATTAGTTATACAGTTTTTTCCAAATTTAAGTTATCTTGAAACTAGAGTTAGTTTGGCTGAATTATGGAATCTGCAGAGTCACCATTAGGGTACGTAGGGGGTTGCGGGAATATACAGGGACACGAAACTTTGCTCATGTAGTACATCCATGATTTTTGAATAAAATATCCACTGAACCCCCTGCGATACCAGCCACGCCAACCACTTGATACACCTGGAACTGAATGTGGGATTTTAACACATTAATTATCAATACTTTCCTGTTAAAGGACTTTGGCAATAAAAAAATTAGTTCTCACACACCGCTGGGAGCTGCTGCACCATCAGCCGCAAGCTTGACAATGGACCTTTCTCCTGATAACTAAAATTTTGATCTAGACAAAAATTTCATCACAGCCTTGAAAGAGCATCACAAAATTAGCAATATTCCAAAGTTTCGTTGCGAAATGTTGTAAAATACGGATAATATATAGCCTTGCGAAATTTGCCGTTTTTCAGTCATTTTGTATTACGCATGGGAAATTGACAGCCCAATTGGGTGTTGGGGCATCAATTTCCCGTTTGTAATACAACATGACTGAAAATTGCAAATTTCGCAAGGCTATATTATCCGCATTTTACAACATTTCGCAACGAAACTTTGGAATATTGCTAATTCTGTGATGCTCTTTCAAGCTGTGATGAAATTTTTGTCTAGACTTGTCTAGATCAAGATTTTAGTTATAAGGGGAAAGGTCCATTGCTCGCTACATAATAACTATAACAAGTACATATACCCAATCCAAAGCCGTTCTGTTCCTCTACTCTCTACTAATAAACATAAAAGGGCTGGGTGGTTGGGATACTGTCAAGCTACATTGAGCAACAACAAAAATATGCTCAACTAACCTGAAACACCCTGATTTCATCAGGCCCCCAGCAGTGTGTGAGAAAACATTTTCCGTTTCTTTCGTGCCTCAGTAAGAAGAAAATAACACTTTGAAGAGGGATGTGCACCCTTCCAAACTTTGTAAAGGGAGTACCAATTTTCTTTATTTGGATTGCCAATATCCTACCACCTCCACTACCACCTAGCTCCCTGGACCCTACCTGGTTCCCTAACAGTCCCACCCCAAACCATGACAAAGGTTCAATGACCCCCCCCCCCCCCCAGCAGTTGTGGCAGGGTCCATCCCTGATCAACTGTAACTCACCATAACATAACTTTCTGAAGTGATAGCAAAAGTATGTGGGTGGTTTTTCTGAACTAAACGTGACAGGAAAGTACATTCCTTTCTTCACCATGTTTTCCCTCGTTTGATTGGACGATATCAGGCTTGCTTGCACCAACAGCAACAAGATGCACACAAAATATGTCATCTCTGAAAAGTAAAAAAATAACTAAATAATTGTGTACAATCATGTTTTCACAAGTTGATTTAACCATTGTCCTTGACTCCTTGTGTTGGCTAGTTTACACTATCAAAGCTTCTGTGATCGCGGTAGGAATTGTGCATCGGTAAATTCTACGTTTTGAAGGATTTGTAAGAAATATTTGAGCAAAAAGTTCTTACAAATCCTTCAAATCTTAGAATTTACCTATGCAAAATTCCTACTGTGATCACAGAAACTTGTACACCAGAATATGCCAAAAAACCTTTGGGAATGATATTTATATAATAACTACAGTGAAACACGCAATTTGCTTGGTCAATACCCGTTCAGAAACAGACAATCCTGCACGGAAAATTTAAATGCCTTCGCACGGGCTTTTTAAAATGTCGGACAATGAAACCATTTTAACGTGTGAAGTTAACACTACAGTATATTAAACAAGAGACGAGTCGTTCCCACGATGCAAATTATGAAGCTTATGCGAAGGGTTTGTCATATAATATCGGTAAACGTTCCGCGTTCTGTCGACATTTTGCGGAAAATATAGGAGACTGGATTTCATTATAAGATTTAAATTGGTTTTGGATTTCATCATCAATCTGCATAGCTATAGCCGTGGGGTAGGCACTCTAAAGGCTTGCTTTTACCACTTTTACACTCGTAGAAAATCATCACCATTTAATTTAAGCACTTTACAGCAATGATTGTCACATAAGTGTCCGGGGTCACCTTGGCGTGCAACTTAGGAGATTCTAGCACTTTGCCGTTAATTTAGTTCTAATTAAGTGAAAACCGCAAAATGTTAATAATAACATGTACTACCCCATCAGTGCGTCAACGTTGCAAGATTTTTAATTTAAAGTAAAATCTTGATACAATTCTCTATTAAACGCACAAAGAGTATATAAGCGGATCTGTTCTATGTGAATGCAATTTGAATATTCTACGTGGATTTTCGTTTGTGTTGAATAGAAAGAAGATAGTATTTTAAAAATGTTCTGTTTTGCCTTTCAAGAAATGAGCAGACTTCCAGTAACCTAGTGCTCAATATATTTTGTCCCTAGAAAGGTTTCACCCAGACAACATCAGTTTTTTTCCAAAACGAACAATGTATATATCTCCAGACGTTTTATTGCACACAGGACGCGCAAGGACAACGGGTCTAACAAATCCTTTGAAATATATGATTTTACGGAAAACATTGTTTTGTGTTCATCGTCGTATAAAGAGTTTTGTTACTGTGTCAGGCACGCCTTAAAACTATTTCATACAACAATTCAAGGCCTGGCATACAAGCCAACTTACTTACCGCCCAGTGTGGAAAATTTGTATCACGCAACCGAGATTTTGATGCTTTCTAACTCGTGCGCACAATTTCCAAACCTTCCAGTCAGCCTTACCGCCTGAATTCTTTTGTTTGCTAGTTCAATGGATTGATTGTAAAGGCGTAGGAAATATTGACGGATATATAAAGACGCCATTATAATAAGGACGGGTTTATAAGATTATTGGCAAATATATATAAAACCCTTCTTACAAGATTATAACATAACGCTTGCATTCAGCGCGCCCCGTTCGGCGCAAGTGCGCTTTATCAACAATACATTACTTCATAAGCTGTTTTCCTACACAAACGTGTTTACGTGTTAGGTAAATGTCTTGCCAATCTAACTTTATAATGGCAAATTAATGTTGCGCGATTAATGTCAATAACCACAAGCGAACGCGCATATTAAACATTCCTAAAATACACCAAAAACATTTCAAACACATAAAATACAAGACGCTATAAAATATCTTCAGTTCTGCTATAAAACAATGAAACCAACTTGTGTGAATTGTGTTTAGCAATAGCGTTATGTTTATTTTTGACCGCGTTGTCTTCAACACCACTAACACTTGAATCCAGCTCTTACCAATATGACAGTTTTATTGTGCTAAAGAATGCGTTTTATGCATTCTTTTCAATAATTTATAAACAGAGTATGGATTACTTACTTTTGGAGTTATATTTTGCCAAAGCGATGTGTCTTCGTCCTTTTATCGTTTGTATATCCAACACTGATCAAAACAATGTCTCATTCACTGTAGTCAGACACAGTGTTAGTAATGATATCTTAAGTATGTGTAACATTACACTCTTTTGATAGTTTGCCAACGGAAATATGCTTGTCCTGATTTGTGAGTTACATTTCACATACTTGGGAGTGCCTGGTATAAACTATAAACTGAGTATATGTGCAGCAAGTTTTTTGATAAAGTTTTTACAAATGTAACCCAAAGTGATAAATTTTTAGCAAAAATTAGACCGGAATCGGTAATGTGAATTTAATAAGTATATACACCGCAGGGTGCTTAAAACACCGCACATTATGGCTGGGGGAATTACCAGGAAGCAGGAAATACCTACTCTATGTAGTCAATATATCATATTTGATAATCAACCATGCCGATCACGTGCACCAGGTTTGGGTGTACTCGTTCTCTTAAAGATAATCTCCTGAGTTTGGCAAACCCAACTGACGATATTGTGACCATTTGGCCGTTGGCGGACACAGTAGGGTCCGACCACCCCCCTCTCAATTTTTTTAAAATGAAAACTGATATCCTATCAGTTGAGCAACTATAAAGAATTAAATTTTGAACCCAAAATCATAGACGGATTTTTTTTTTTTTTTGGGGTGGGGGCAGGGGATGCACACCCTCCAAAATATTTTGCATCCCCTCAGATAGATTTCCCACCCCACCTACAGAAATTTGCGATCCTCCCAGAAATTTAAATGCTCGTGGCTCGTTGGATTAAATGACAGTAGCATGATTGAAATAAGGTTTTCGAACTGAATAAGACAAAAACGATTTTGAACTAAATACGACAAAAAATCTCAAAATTTCCTGGGTGCTTCGTCCCCCACCCCTTACCCAACTAGTGACTGTGCCCCCAGCTGCAGCTTGTTCGACGCTCTCGCTTACCCCCCCCCCCTCCCCTGAATGTTCAGCAACCCCCACCCCAGAGCAAAATCTGAAAATCCGTCTATGCCTAAAATGGCGAGGAGAGAAACGACAACAAAATAACCAACCATTAGGTTTATCGTTGACTTTCTATCGGGTTTTACTATGCCCCACGTATATACGCTAAAACACAATAACTCCACACTGGACGTTTTGTTTTGTGTACTTTAATATTAAAATTACATAAGCATCCTCAGAGAAACGAGAATTTCCAGCATAATTTCTTAGGCTCCGTACAGGTGACTGAAAAGTTTCCCTTGACAAGATTTATTTGCTCGTGTGTGCAGCAAAAGATTGACAGTTTTTCTTTGCCAAGGAGTCTTGTTCCAAAGCTAATCATACCAGCTTTTGGACAAGGAAAATTTGTTCGTGTGTACGCCATGGAAAGTTTAACAAGTGTACAAGAAATACTTGGTTTTGACAAACAAAAGTCGGTTTTGACAAACAAAAGTCGGCCTTGACGTGAGATAAATGTTCAAACAACCGCATTCTGTGCATACGGGCAACACAACTCGTCACGGAAACGTGTCAAGGGAAACGTACCTTACTCTGATGGTTGTGAACGAGTGGATGAGTTACGAATGTTCAGCTGAGGTTACATATACGGAAGAGGTTATTTCGCTGGCCTCAGAGTGACAAAACGTAACAAAGCAACGGTTTTACTAACACTAACCCTATTCCAAACTCTAAACCCCAACCCTAAACCTAACCTAACTCTACTCCAAGTTTGTTTCTAAACCAATCCTGAAGAAAAAAGTTCTTGACGAAATGTCATTCTGAGGTCAGCGAAATAACTTCTTCCTATACACGGCTAAAAACGCACAGGTTGTTGCAAGTTGATATCGACAGGCGTGAACAATGTTGTGCGGCCAACTATGAACAAGTTGTCAACCATGTTGTTCCAAGTTGTTACAGTTGAACAATGCTGTAACAACATGTTGACAATACTGTTCATAGTGGGCCGCACAACCTTGTTCACGCCTGTCGATATCAACTTGCAACAAGTTGTTGATTTTCAGAACATTCGTAACTCATCTGCTCGTTCACATCCACCAGAAGGAGAAAATTGCACTAGAAATCGGACCAAAAATTACAAGTGTAAACTGGTCTTAATTAAGAAATCATGTTGGAATAAATTTTCTATCCAATACAAACACTAAGCATTACTACTGCAGCAAAAACGACCAAATACACGCCAGTCATGATAACGTTGCTGTATTTCTTTCTATAGTAAACGCAATAATTCGGCGGGGCTTGGAGTCAGACCGGGAGGGATTGGGACCGAACATGGACATTGGAATCTTGATGAGAAGTACAACCATTTCTCGAAGGTGAGATAACTGGATTTACCGGTTTCATACCAGCCAAGCCAGTCGTGAGGCACGCCAGGAACTGAAAGAAGACAAAATTAAAACACACCCGTTCTTGGACTCAAAAAAAGAGTCAACGCGAAAAGGTTGCTATGGGGTCAGTCGTTAGTCTGGGGTCAAATTGACCGCAGGGTGGGATAATTCGCGTACTTTATCCGTTGTTTGGGATAGGGTTGTGGTTGGGCCGTCAAAATGAATGAGAAATATATTCGTACGCGAAACATGAAGATGGTACGGGCATTTTCGTCTTAAAAATGTTGTTAGAAACTGCTTTAGTATCGCTTTTTAGAGAATCGACCCATTTAGCTCATCGTACATAGAATTTAAAAACGTGTCACTAATAAAACGTGTCACTAAAACGTGTTACTCAGTAAAACGTGTTGCTACTGAGGTTTAGGAATGACCAATTGCGATATTCTCAAATGTACAAGTATTTTATATACACGCAGTGAGTTGTGAGACGATTGTAGCTATTGCTTGTCAGCGTGTAGTTTCAAAACATTCTCTGAAAAGCTAGTTTCTAACTGTCCCGACCAGTAACCTAAACCAAGGTATCTAATTTAACCCATTAAGTTGCATTCCGCCCTAATGCGCTTTACTTTATTGCTTAATTAAGCTCGGATCCGAGAACTCGTGCATGAGAGTTGACAGTCACGTGACCTTGGTTAGCTGTTCTTAATGCTTTCCCAACACTATCATGTATTCTATTTAAGTTAAAACATAGTTGGAACACTCATCCAACCTTTATTTTGTTAATCTAGAGCTTGAAATGTCCCCTGCAGGGTGTTAGCTACAGTCAAAAATTCCGCGTTAAACGCGGTTTTCCCAATTACCTTGAGGTCGCAATTTCCCAATTTGGGTCAGCCAAAAAAAAGTTATAGAAATTCAATGTTGTTAATACGCCATTAAAAACATGTTTATAACTACATTTGCTCAAAATTACTCCCAAAATGCGGGAAATGCCATTTCAAAGACACAAAAATTTTCAAAATCGAGAGGGGGCAACCGCATGCCCCCAGACCCACAAAGAAATGCCCAGCTTCAGGCTAAAATAAATTTCCCAATTTCAGGTAAACGCGGATTTTTTTTTACTTCTGGCTAACACCCTGCCCTGTGCCAATGCATGCATGCCAACTCTCATCAACTCTCAATAGGTTAACACAATGCTATGAACCGGTTGAGCTCTTGGGATGCTGGATTAAGATACTCAGGGTTGTAATACTCACCGTAAGCTTGCTTTCTGATATGGTGACACATTGTTCTGGGTACTTTACCATGGAACGCCACTGGTATATACATGACGTCAGGAGTGCTAGGAGGGTAACGTGGTAAGGGTGGTCCTGGAACACCAGGTATCCCAGGTACCCCCGGTAGACCCTGATTACCCTTCAGTCCCCATGGTCCAGGACCGCCAATCCTACCCGGCAATCCTACTCGACCAGGATCTCCAGTTTCACCTGAAATTTGCAATGAAACCACTGTTAAAGTTGAGGTTCGTTGTTCATAAATTGGAAACGCTTTTGGGCATGTACACTTCAATATAAGTAATGGATGATTCCGAGCTCTGCTATAGACTAAATTTTGATCTAGGCAAGAAGAACAAAACCTAACACCCGACAGCAAGAAAGAGCATCTTGGAATGAATAAAACTGCAAAGTTTGGTTGCGAAATGTTGTAAAATGAAGAAAATATAGCCCTGTGAAGTTCGCAAATTTTGTATATATTTGCATTACGCGCGAGAAAAATAACCATTTTTGAGCCGAAAGTGGTTATTTTTACCGCGCGTAATACAAATATAGTACAAAATTTGCGAACTTCACAGGGCTACAATTTCTTCATTTTACAACATTTCGCAACCAAACTTTGCAGTTTTATTCGTTCTAAGATGCTCTTTCTAGCTGTGGTGTTGGATGTCGTTCTTGCTTTGATTAAAATTTACTATAAAACTTGCACTCGAAATCGCCATCTACAAAACACAAGTAAATCACAATACCTCCGCTCCCCTTTGGACCACTGGGACAACGGCATTTCTCACCAGGAGGGGGTCTGGCAAACGGGGTCGCTGCTTCACCCTTAATGCCTTTCAAGCCAGCATACCCGGGTTGTCCTGGATCCCCGGGAGGACCCACTTCACCTTGTGGACCTGGAGGACACGGGGCTACTACACCACTGAGACCAGGCGGGTTCCTCCACGCTGAACATCCTGTGTTGATGGTAAACATCACAAAAAGCACCTGGAAGAAAACATGAAATTTCTGTTTTTCGCTTTTCATTCAACATTTTTTGGATGACTCCAGCTGTAGACGAAATTTTGATCTGGACATGAAGAACGAAATCTGATTACCATAGCTGGAAAGAGCATCTTAAAATGAGTAAAATTGGTCGCGAATTGTTGCAAAATGAGGAAAATACAGGGTGTATAAAAAAAAACTGAACAGATTTAAAATTGCTCTCAATTTCGCAAAACAGCTATTTGTATCTGGTTTTTTATATATATAGCTTCCTTGGGTACTTATAATGTAAAATAATGAAAAAAAATTCTCGAACTCAAATTTTGTGAACCAGGGGTGTGTGTCTTTTCCAAGAAACTAAAAATGGCTCGCGCACAAAATTTAAAAGCTGCAATCATATTTTGAGTTAACAGATGGAAAATTTGTTGGGATTTTAATTACTGTACAAAATTTCAGACAATTTGGTTTAGTTTAAGCCCCTTAACTATTCACGCAAAGTTACAATTTTCCCGAAAAATCAGCTATTTGCATGCTTAATTAATGCATTTGCCTAATTTGCATATATCAGCAATATGCAAATTAAGTAAAGGCATTAATTAAGCATGCGAAAGGCTGACTTTTTAGAACAAAATGAATAGTTAAAGGGCTTAAACTAAACCAAATTGTCTGAAATTTTGTGCAGTAATTAAAAACCCGACAAATATTCAATCTATCAACTCAAAATATTATTACAGCTTTTACATTTTGTGCGCGAGCCATTTTTAATTTGTTGGAAAAGACACCCCCCCCTGGTTCACAAAATTTGAGCTCGAGAATTTTTTTTCATTATTTTACATTATAAGTACCCAAAGAAGCTATATACATAAAAAAAAGATACAAATAGGTGTTTTGCGAAATTGAGAGCAATTTCAAATCTGTTCAGTTTTTTTTGATACACCCTGTATAGCCCTGTCAAGTTTGTAAATTTTGTATTTATTTTTTGCATTTGGTTATTTTTACCGCGCGTAATACGAATATATCACAAAATTTGCGAACTTCACAGGGCTGTATTTTCTTCATTTTACAACATTCGGCAACCAAACTTTGCAGTCACTCATTCTAAGACGCTCTTTTTAGCCATGGTGTTGGATTTCGCCACTAACGTTCCGACTAAGGAAGAGCCTTCGCTCGAAACGTCGAATTTCGCTTTGTATTTTTCAAGTAGTCGCATCCCTACCAAGGAAAGCTTGATATTATTGGCACGACCTACACTGGCACAGACAGTTCAAGATTATAGCTGTCTTAATGCTTTCCCAACACAGCTATCATGCATTCTATGTTAATC